TGTGTGTGTGCTGGTTCTGGGGTTTGAAATTCAGGTCCTGGGCACTGTCTCTGAGTTTTATTTTGGTTTTTACTCAAGGCTAGCACTCTATCATTTGAGCCTTAGCTCCACATTGGGTTTTGTTTTGTTTGTTTGTTTTCATGAACTTTCTGCCAGGCTGGTTTTGAACTGTGATCTTCAAGTATCAGCCTCCTAAGGAGCTAGGATGCAGAGCACTAACTTTTAAAGAATGCTTCCAAACAATGAAAGCAAATGCTTGCTCAGACACATGTCTACATTACCTCATGTAAGCATCAAAAAAAAAAAAAAAAAAGCCCTATGGAAGGGCACTGTAGCTCAAGCCTGTAATCCCAGCTACTCTGAAGAATAGATTGGAGGGCTGTAGTTCTAGGCAGGCCCAGGCAAAATGCTAGTAAGACCCCAATTCATATATAAAAAGATGTACTTGTGATTGAGAGACAATATTAGGATGGATTATGAATGAGTCATAGATTTGGTACAGCTCAAGCCACTCATCCTTATCCCCTTGTCAACCCTTCCCTGTCCCTAGGGGGCCACATTTGTCATGGGACAGTCAAGGGTGTCACCATTCCCCAGGTACTGAATGAAGTCAGTGGGTGGTCTCCCACACACCCACCAATCATCTTCTTGCTGTCCAGTCCCACCTGTGGTCCTGTGGGCTGGGGAAGTAAGAGCCCCCACCTGCCACTTGAGCCACAGTCCTACCTCTGGCTCTTTAGTGATTAATTGGAGATAAGAGTCTCATAGATTCTCCTGCTCAAACTGGCTTCGAACCACCATGCTCAGATTTCAGCCTCCTGAATAGCTAAGATTACAGGTGTCCAGCTAGATTAACTGCTGTTATTAAAGGATAGGTCTATGGACTTAAATAAGAAAAAAAATCTCCTCTTTCTTTTCACTAGCCTTTAACTATATTTTGAATTTCCTTCTCCTGTGCACTTCACAAGAGTATTCGCTCTGCCTATGGTGTTGCCAATCAGAAGAAATCAGTTCTTTTCATAACACAATGGTTGCAGAGATCTCAAAGTAGTGTTTATGCAACTTGTGACTTGGAGATGATGGTAGCGAGGGGGCCTGCTGTTAGGCCTTTAATAGTTAATGAAAAACACAGACATTACGGTGGCACACGGGATTTTTAAATTCCATGCATGGCAGCCATAAGATGCACTTCCCAGGCCTCCAGCTGCAGGAGGATAATCCAGTGAGAGCACCAGCTGCAGCCTGCTAATCAGGGTTGGGACCCATACCTTACTAGGCCTCCTTGCTGGGGCTGTTCCCAGTCAAGGGCAGGAATGAGGAGCAAGCAGAAGGGACTTCCCCAAAACTAGGTCCCTCCATTTCTCCCTCCCTCCCTCCCTCCCTTCCTTCCTTTCTTCCTTCCTTCTTTCCCTCTCTCCCTCCCTCCATCCATAGAGGTTCTCTAGCTATCCTCCCCTGCCACATTCTCTCTCAACATACAAAACACTGGCATGCTTCATCTTTTTGGGCATCTGTTTCTTGGAGGAGTAGCATGGACTGATAACTGTCTTCCAACATAGTTGTTTTCTTTTGTAATCAAAAATACTTTATCCTCTAGGGGCTGGGAAGGTGGCTCAGTGGTAGAGCGCTTGCCTTGCATGCCTGAGGCCCTGGGTTCGATTCCTCAGCACCACATAAGCAAAAAGAAAAAATGCCGGAAGTGGCGCCTGTGGATCAAGTGGTAGAGTGCTAGCCTTGAGCTGAAGAGCTGAGGGACAGCGCCCAGGCCCAGAGTTCAGGCCCACGACTGGACCCAAAAAAAAAAAAAAATACTTTATCCTCTGAAAAACACCCTGGCTACGGGTACCTCTAAATGCATTCATTGTGTAGCTTAAATACATATAGCCTTTTATGTTGATTATATCTCAATAGAGATTTATTTTACTGTGATGGTGTTGGGGCCTGGACGCTGTCCCTTAGCTTTTTTGCTTAAGACTGGTGCTCTACCACTTGTGCCAGACCTCCACTTCCAGGTTTTTGCTGGTTATTGTCTATAAGAGTCTCAGGGACTTTTGTGCCCTGGCTTTGAACCTGGCACCTCAGATCTCAGCTTTCTGAGTAGCTAGGATTATAGAAGGGAGCCACCAGTGCCCAGCTGTATTCAGGTTTAAGCAGTACCATTTCTCAGGGTGAAGAGAGGATGTTCCCTGGCCTCCTAGAAATTGGTAAGAAGAACAGCCAACTATTGGGCATCTCCTGCCAAGCCCTTGACATTCCTGGTGATTCTTGTATACAACATGTATAATTCGGCGACTATCTCTGCCTTCTAAGGCAGATCTGCAACATCCTAGCTTGTGGGTGAGGAGGAGGATGTGGGTTGGTGGTATGAGTAACCTGCTTGGGGGTCACAGGGTCATGGGGCCCATGATTGGCAGACACACAATTATCTAGAGCTGACTAGACAGCACTGCTCCCGCAGCCCCCGCTATGTGGGGCGAGGATAAGCAAGGTGCAGGGACAGTGCACGCACGCGTGCGCACACACAGAGCAAAGATCCCGCCTCTTAATTACAGCTGTCGCTGTGTGTGCTGTTAACAAAGGCCGTGGGCTGGGAAAGGAATCGGCTTAATATGCAATTGCTCATTCCCAATTAGCACAAATTATCATCTGTCTGAGAGGATAATGTTAGGAGCTGGAATCCGCTCCTGGTGGATCAATGGTGCTCCTGTGCCACACCTCTGCTGCCAGCTCTGCCTGGTGGCTTCCCAGGATGCCGCAGCCACTAGTGCCTCCCCCCCACATCCCCAGGCACAGCGTCCCTCGTTCAGGGTATCCTCTGTGCATTTCCTTCTGCCCTGCCCTGCCCTGTTCTGCCCAGGCTCCCCTTCCAGGCATCTACACTAACTGGCTAAATCTGCCAGGCCACTCGCTATGTCCCTCTCCAGCTCCATGGGGAAGGCTGCACCACCCCACCCAGCCCCCTACCCCCTTCTCTGGGCCCCTTCTCAGGCCCAGAGAACAGAAGCAGGCCTTGGTGGTACCCTTCCAGGCTGTGATGGCACACCACTGTAGGGCAGCCGGGGCCCCGCAAGGAGGAAGGGCTGGTCTGTTCACGGGTGCTCTCTCACCTTGCCTTTCCTCCTCCCTTCTCTTCCCTTCCTCCTCCCTTCTCTTCCCTTCCCCCCTTTCATCTTTGACAGGGCCTCTTTATGGAGCCTAAACTACCCTCAAACTCATGATCCTCCTGCCTCAACTTCCAGAGAGCTGGGAGGGCAGGTGTGTGCCACCATGCTCAGCCCTCTGCTCATTTTTCATTTTCATTCCCCAAGGGCTGCCGTTTCCCCTGCCCTCCCTTCCTCCCTTGTTTTCCAGGCTGATGCCACAACACCCTGTGGGTTAAAGCTCAGTACTCATTCTTAGAGTCCTAACACTTGTTGATTACTTATAATGTTTCCCACGTTTTACTCATGCAAAGGCTGAGAACTGCAGTTATTTCCACTTTGCAAGTGGGGACCCAGGGCACAGAGAAGTTGACTAACCTGCCTGAGGGTCGCACAGCTTAATAAGTGATTTCACGAGTACATGAATTAAAGGGTTTGGCCTCAGAGCCTGGTCTGTCCCTTCTTCCAGGAAGCTGGACCAGATGGGGACTCGCCCTGCCACTTCCGCTCTTGACACTGTTCTCTTTAGGGACCCAGAGCACACCTGTGACCTCACACACGTCCTTGCTGGGCTTTCGGCCTGCCCTCACCACGACTGACCTGTGAGAGCCTCAGTGGTGGTGGTGGGGGGCTGGCACACTGCGCATGCTCCCTCTTCCTGGCCCCCCCCCCCCCCCCGCCCCAGCCCAGCACTCACAGGCTTCATGATCCAGGTGATCCCGGGGTTCTTACGGAACTCCTCCACGAACAGGTGGTACTCGCAAGGCATCTCGAAGGTTTTGGGGAAGAAGTCGCACTTGGCGGCCTCCAGCTTCCCGGCCTCGCGCTCCAGCTGCTTCCGGAACCGCTTCAGGTTCTTCACCATGTAGTTCTTGCGGGTGAGCTGGGCAGCAGCGGGGTGGGCAGGGCAGGAGGTGAGCCCCTCCCCTTCCCCTATCCCTCCCCCTGTCCCCTCCCCTCTCCCTCCCCCCTGTCCCCTCCCCCTTCCCCTGTCCCCTCCCCCTCCCCCTGTGGCAGAGCTCACGCATGCGCACGTGCGCGCGGCACCAGCGGGCCGGCCGCCGGGCTCACCTCGTAGTGGTTCCGGAAGTGGCTGATCCGCACGTGCTCGTCCATGTAGATGTGGTCGAAGTTCTCCCGGAGCCAGCTGACGTCACACCAGTAGAAATCCCACTCCCCCTCGCTGGGGTGGGAGGACAAGGGTCATGACTGAGGGCTGGGGGGGCGGGAGGGGTCCTGGCAGTGGCGGGTGCACTGTCTGGGAGGAGGCCTGCAGCAGATCTGGCCACGCGCAGAGCCTCTCGACACCCATCGCAGCCCCCCGCACCGCAGTCCCCACCTCGCCCCAGGACGCAGCACGGGCCAGCCCATGCCACCTGCCGGGGCATCCACTGTCACCTCACCTGCCCACACCATCCAGGGAGATCGAGTCACAGCTGTAAGCTCTTTCCGGATCCCTGAGTCCCCTCTCACTAAACCTCACAGCCGCCCCAGGAGGGGACAATGATCTGAGCACTCAGGTACAATGGCCATGCTCGGTCCCCACACCTGGCTTGACCGCAGTCTAACCCTGCCCTTCATCACCTCGCCAAGGAGGGGGACAAATCGGAGCTAGCGCTGGGGTGCACAAAAGAAGTATGACAGCCTGGCACTGGTGGCTCATGCCTACAATCCTAGCTGCTCAGGAAGCTGAGATCTGAGGATCCTGGTTCAAAGCCAGCCCAGTCAGGAAAGCCTGTGAGACTCTTATCTCCAATTAACCACCAGAAAACTGGAAATAGAGCTGTGACTCAAAGTGATACAGCACTATCCTTTAGCAGAAGAGCCCAGGGACAGTGCCCAGACACCAACCAGATCATAAGTAACAAACTAGCACTACTGGATTGCTTTTACTTGTTGAGACAGGGTCTCACTGTACAACCCAAGCCAGCCTGGAACTTGAGATCCTCCTGCTCAGATACCGAGGTGCTGGGATTCATTACATCAGGTATGTGCCACCATGCCAGGTGTAAATAACGAAGCCTTTGTTTTATGTAGGGAATCAGACCCAGGTAAGTCCTTGTACAGAGCAATGTCACTAAGGCACAGCCCTGCATCCTATTTTTTAGTTGAAAAATTATAGCTAATGCTGGATGCCAGTGGCTTACATCTGTAATGCTAACTCCTCAGAAGGCTAAGATTTGAGATCCTGGTCTGGAGCCAGTCCAGGCAGAAAACTGTAAGACTCTTATATCCATTTAACCAGCAAAAAGCCAGAAGTGGAGGTGTGGCTAAAGTGGTAGACACTAGCCTTGAAGGAACAAAAAAAAACAAGAGAGAGTTTGAGCCCTACTACTACAACACCCTTCAGATTCTCCCTATGTACCCCAGGCTGGTCTGGAACTCATGATCCTCCTGACTCAGCCTCCTGAATGCTGAGATTACACGGATGTGTAACCATGCCTGGCTAAGCAGCTAAACTTTCAGATTTGTTATAGAGCAAGCACACCTGGAGCCATGGCCCAGAAGTTTGGCTATCTGTTGTGAATGAAAGCTCACTTTAGAATTTCCCTGAAATAGGGCTGGGAAGTTGGCTCAGTGGTAGAGCACTTGCCTTGCATGCCTGAGGCCCTGGGTTTGATTCCTCAGCACCACATAAGCAAAAAGAAAAAAGCCGGAAGTGGTGTTGTGGCTCAAGTGGTAGAGCACTAGCCTTGAGCTGAAGAGCTGAGGGACAGCGCTCAGGCCCAGAGTTCAGGCCCCACGACTGGACCAAAAAAAAAAATAATTTCCCTGAAATAAAAACCAGATTTTCTCTTGCTTCCTTGTGGCTGTCAACTGGATGGCTCTCCTGGAGTGTTGACCATACATACAGGAGCCTATGGCGTGGAGAGAGTAGCAGCCTGACACTAAGCTCAGAGGTGGCAGTGGGGGTGGACTGGGCACGGTGTGGTGACTTCTCTCAGTACATGGGTCTCCAACTTCCCACCTCCAAATACAATTTTACAAGTTTCACAGGCAGGTCCCTGCTTAATGTTCATTAGCAGGTGGGGGGGGGGGCAAGGAGCTCCACAGAAATAGCAGAACAAACCCATAATCTTACAGATACTATCATAGTGACATAAAAGCACTTTCATTTAAGCAAATGAGTTGATCTAAGTATGCAGCAAACACCACATACAAATGGTGACACTCATGGCTGGGAGTCACACTGGAGTCAGAAATTACATTCCCAAGCCAGGCAGCGGTGGCTCCTGCCTGTAATCCTAGCTACTCAGGACCCTGAGATCTTAAGACAGACAGCCCAGACACAAAGGTCTATGAGACTCTATCTCCAATTAACCACCAGGAAACCAGAAGTGGAGCTGTGGCTCAAACTGTGAAACTGTTAGAGCATTAGCCTTGAGCACAAAACCTCAGGGACAGCGCCCAGGCCCTGAATTCAAGCCCCACAACCGACAAAAGAAATAAATAAATATCATTCCTACTTTTGTCATATGTGATGAATGAAAATCCATGTCCTCCTCCAAGCCTTCCCCAGGCTGTTCCTGCAGGCCCAGCGAACATGAGGAGCCTTCTCAAGCAATGGAAACCCACCCGAGAAGTGTTGCTGTGCTTTGTAAACTGCAGCCACACAGCCACACAGTCTGGGGTGTGGGCTGGGATGTTCACCTAGACACATTGGCCATCTTCTCTTCCAACTTGGACCATGCCAGGCAGGGCCCACCAAGCAGCAGTCATGAGCCCTGACTCTCCTCCTGCTGCAGACCACCACACTTGTGTGTCTTGGCCTGCCTCCCCTGGCCTCAGTTTCCCTACTGGGGAAAAAAATCAAGGAAGGGAAAGTCTGCTCAAGATGGGGGCAAATCAATCACAATGAATAAATAAACATGGGTAGAAATTCCTTTCACTCAGAAAAATAGGTAATAAATGAAGACGGCATGAATTGAGTGAAAGTTTCCATTTTGAAATTGTAATAACAAAAACTGATTTAAAAAAAAACCACTGGGCACCAGTGGCTTGTGCTCCTAATTTTAGCTATTCAGGAGGTTGAGATCTAAGGATCACAGTTCAAAGCCAGATCAGGTAGGAAAGTCCATGAAACTCCTATCTCCAACTAACCACAAAATAATAATAATAAAGGCCAGAAGTAGAGCTGTGGCTCAAGTGGTAGAGTATTAGTCTTGAGCACTAAAGCTCAGAGACAGCCAGGCACCGATAGCTCCTGCCATAATCCTAGCTATTCAAGAGGCTGAGATCTGAGGCTCTGGTTCAAAGCCAGCCCAGGAAGGAAAAATCCAAGAGACTCTTTTTTTTTTTTTTGTCGGTCATGGGGCTTGAACTCTGGGCTTGGGCACTGTCCCTCAGCTCAAGATGAGCACTCTACCGCTTGAGCCACAGTGCCACTCCCAGTTTTCTAGTAGTTTATTGGAGATAAGAGTCTCACGGACTTTCCTGCCCAGGCTGGCTTTGAACCATGATCCAGATCTCAGCTTCCTGAGTAGCTAGGAGTACAGGTGTGAGCCACTGGCACCGGGCTCCAAGAGACTCTTACACACACACACACACACACACACACACACACACAAGTGGAGCTGTAGCTCAAGTGGTAGAGCACTAGCCTTGAGCAAACCAGCTCAGGGATAGTGCCTAGGGTCTGGTTCAAACCCCAGAACAGGCGTGTGCGCACGTGCACACATGCACACACACCCACACAGATTATAAAATTACTTTGTGAAGATGTGTTGATGACAGGATATTTACAGAGTGTCAAAGTATCTTTCCACACAGAGAACTTCCTAGTTGAAAAAACAAATTAAAAAGAAAGAAAAAAAGACAAATTTTCATTGGCCTCCTGGCACGCCTTGCTTTAACTTGGCAATGCAGGAAACATCCCCATTGGTGAGACACACCGGCATCATGAACTCTGAATGTGGCACAGTGGGCTGGGGGAGGCTTGGCACTACTCTGTGCTGTTCCTGCCTCTGGCCAGGGGTGGAGCTCAGGGAGCTCAGGTGGGGCATGCTTGCCTAATATGAGCAAAGTCCTGGGTTCCAGCCTTAGTGCCACAGAAAACAAACAAATAAGAGGGTTTTCTATGTTTTTGTTTTGTCAATTATGAGGCTTGCTTGAACTCTGGGCCTGAGCACTGTCCCTCAGCTCTTCAAAGGCAATCACTCTACCACTTGAGCCGCAGCATCACTTCCAGTTTTCTAGTAGTTAATTGGAGATAAGAGTCTCATGGACTTTCCTGCCCAGGCAGGCTTTGAACCGCGATCCTCAGATCTCAGCCTCCTGAGTAGCTAGGATTACAGGCATGAGCCACTGGTACCTGGCTACAAATAAGAGTTTTAAACGCAGAGCCTCATGATCCTTCCCTAAGAAGGTGCTAGGATAGGGTGGAGTTACACCTGACCCTGCTGAAGGCTAGGCACAAACCCTAGCTCAAACATGGCATGCCTGTTCCTCTGTGCCCAGGTTTCTCTTTAGTGAGGCAGGGATGGTAAGAACACCCACTGAAAGACTAGAGGGTGTCTTCCTTCTTCCTTGTCCTCTTCCTTCTTCCTTCCTCCTCCTCCTTCTCCTTCCTTCTTCTGTCCTCCTCCTCCCCGCTTCTGTCCCCCTTCTCCTCCTTCTTTTTTTGTGCCAAGTGGTATGTCTCAAGTGGTAGAATCACAAAAGCTCAGGGACTTCAACTCAGGGCCTGGACAGTGTCCCTGAGCTTTTGTGATTCTACCACTTGAGACATACCTCTGCTTCCCAGCTTTTTGCTAGCTAATTGGTTATCAGAGTCTCTTGGTTTTGTCTGCCCAGGCTGGCTTTGAACTGTGACCCTCAGATCTCAATCTCCTGAGTAACTAGGATTACAGGTATAAGCTGCCTGCACCTGGCTTCCATTCTCCCCATTTCTACAACAACATAATTTCAGAGTTTACCTGAGAAATGAGGTGGACATTTGTCAGATTTCCTTACAGCTAGGTGAAGCTACATACATGGCTAAGATCTTCTAGCAAGATGTGATTTTAGAGTTTGTCCTTCTTATTCTTGCCAACTTCCTTCCTACTGCTACCTGGAGCTTGAGGGCAGGACCAGAGCTGCACCTGGACCATGAAACCTTGCTCAGAGGCAGGCAGAATGGAAAGACAGAACTAGACAGTGTCTGTAATGCCCTCTCCATCTCTAACTTCCTGATGTGGACCTCAATGGGACAGACAGACGGATACACAGCCACACTGAGGAAGCCTCTAAACTTCAGCCGCACTAACAACAGCCAGCCAGTTTGTGTGGCCCAAGTCCTTGTTTCTATCAAGAGCCAATTACTGAATGTCCAGCTGCCCTGGGGAGGAACTACACACTTTCTCCAACTGGTCCTAAGCAGGTGGTCAGCAACTCTTAAGACAGCTTTATCTTACTGAGTGGTTGTAGAGCTTAAATACCATAGAGATGATGTCACTAATGCACCTGACACATTTGAGTGCTAATGAATGACGCTGGCACTTTAGACTAAGACTCTGAGTACCCAGGGAAGGAAAAACTCGGGAAGACAGGGACTAAGAGGAGAAGGAATAGAGTTGAGCTGGTGGTGGGGGTGAGGGCTAGGGTGGGGGCGGGGTGGGGTCTTACTCTTTCACTTCCACCCATCCTGGCCTGCGGCGTAGAACATCCATGAGTGTGTTCATAAGCGTTGTCTTGAACCGGACTAATGTTCTCTGCTCTCTGCAAATCAAGGCAACAGAAAGAATACTTGCTTAGGATCCACCTTTGTACTAGGTTGATCCACAGATGGGAAAAGGAAGGAAGGAAAGAAGATCAAATTCCACATCTAGAATTCCAAAACCATGACAAGGAGCCAGTGGCTCATGCTTGTAATCCTAACCACTCAGGAGGCTAAGATCTAAGGATCTCAGTTTGAAGCCAGCCCAGGCAGGAAAGTTCCTAACACTGTCTCTAATTAGCCATCAAAAGCCAGAAATAGAGCTGTGACTCAAGTGGAAGAGTACCCTCCATGAGTGAAAAAAAGCTAAAAAACAATGCTCAGACCCTGAATTCAAGCTGTAGTACTGGTACCAAAAATATATGTAAAATAATAAAAAAATCTTTGAGTTGTTGGAAAATAGCAAGTATTTACTATGTCCCAGGCACAGTCTGGCTGCTTTCCATGAGCCATGACAGATGCTTGCATCACGTGACAAGTGTTTGCAAGGCCTCTTCTGGAAATTCATCTGGGAAGATGGAACAGATGAACTTTCCCCCATTCCTCCTACATAGACGACTAAACACCATAAACAGTGTCTAGGAAACAGACTTAGGATGACTGAAAGGTAGAGAAGAAGGCAGACCAGCTAGGGACCTGAAGCCTAAAGGTGCCACAGTGAGAATGCTTTGAGTTTGCTTTTTGTCTCATAGCCCAGATTGAAGATTTTAAAAAGCCAGCAGTACTCATGTGAATTGCTAATGGGCACATATAAAACGAAAACCAGCTATTCCAACAAACAAACAACAAACAAGCCAGCTCTCTAGCCAAAGGATGGAATGGAAAACAGTCAGGAAAACAATAACTGTATGTCCCTTTATGCCAGTGGGGAGTCTAGAGATCCTACAAGATTATAGAAGATAACCCAACACCACTGCTGGGGTGACAATGGAGAAGGCCAAGGCCAAGGCGTGCTTTCATCTTGTTCTCCTTCTGCATATGCACACACGCACACACACACACACACACACACACACACATCTGTATCACTGGAGACCACGCAGAAAGCCTGGAATTCCCTGCTACCTAATCATGAGGTGTCCCTCCTACTGTGGGGTGACATCAAAGGAGGCCTATAGGATAGCTAGAGATCAATGACATTGAAAATCAAGCAATATTTTTTTATTTTAATTGACAAATGCATTTATCAGCCAAACTGACAAAGGAAAGAGAAGAAGACACAATTCCTGGAGGAGTGATGGAATGGGGAAGTACTACAGACTCTGCAGACACCGCAGGGGCAGTAAGGAGTACAAACACCTCCTCCACACCTAAGGGTGACAGTGTGGGAGGATACAGTCCTTAAAGCACATGACACAGCTCATCTGGGATGAAACATGTTCAAACAGCTCCATAACTACTAAGGAAATCGAGTTCATCATATAACAACTCTCAAAGGAGACATCTTGGGGGCTGGAGGTGTGGCTTAGTTGGAAGAGCACTAGCAAATGAGCGAAAGTATTAGCTAAGAGTCCTAGTCTTGGAAAGGAAAGGAGAGAAAGATGACATCGCCAGGCTCAGAGGGTTACCCTGGAGAATTCTCCAAAACGCTAAAAGTCAGATTCCACCCCAATTCTATGCAATTTCTTCCAGAATAAAAGGAAGAGGAGGGATGAAAGCTTCTGAACCTATTTTGTGAAGCTAGTATAACCTAATTTCAAAAATCAAAAAGAGCACACAAAACAAAAGCTATAAACTGGGCACTGATGGCTCATGCCTGTAGTCCTAGTTATTCAGGAAGCTGAGATCTGAAGATTGCAGTTCAATGCTAGCCTGGGCAGGAAAGTCTGTGAGATTCTTATCTCTAATTAACCACCAGAAAGTGATGCTTTGACACAAAGTGGTAGAGCACTAGACTTGAGCAAAAAAGCTCAGGGACAGTGCCCAGGCCCTCTGAGTTCAAGCACTACTACCAACAAAAAAGAAAAGAAAAAAGAAAGCTATAGACCAGGATGGAGGGTGTAGTTTGGTGACAGAGCACTTACCCAGCATGCTCAAGGTTCTAGGTTCCATCCCCAGCACCAAAAAAGAAATAATAAATTTCAAAATCAGCAAATAGAATTCAGCATTATATAAAAAGAATTGTATACCAGAGCCAAATGGATTTTTTTCTGTAGGCAAAGCTGGTTCAATATTACAAAATCAATGTAATCTATCATCTTAATAGGATAAAGAAGGAAAATCACATGATCATATCAATTGATGCATAAAAAGAATTTGACAAGGCTGTGATCTCAGCTACTCATAAGACGGAAATTGGGAGGATCTTGGTTTGAAGCCACTTGAGTCAAAAAGTTAATTTTTGATTCTCATCTCAACTAATAAGATGGCATGTTGGTCTATGTCTGCAATCCAAGCTACATGGAAGGCCACAGATAGGAGGATGGTAGTCAGAAGCCTATTCCATATGAAAATGTGAAGCCCTTCCTGAAGAATAACTCAAGCAAAAAAGAGCTAAAGATGAGGCTCAAGTGGTAGACTACCTGCCCAGCAAGTGTGAGATCCTGAGTTCAAATCCCAGCAGCACAGAAAAGAAGGAAAAATAAGTAAAAGTATTTGACAAAGTTAAATATCCATTCAAGATTTTAAAAACAACAACCTAAGAAACCTCCCCATTGTAATGAACACTGAAAAAGCAGGCAGCTAGTATTGCAATGATGGTGAAACAAAAGGATCGGTCTCTACACCACTCACTACCCACACAGTGCAGCCCTGGAAGTCCCCACCTCCAGCCCCACAAAAGGTAAAGGACGGATGCAGATGGCGAAGGAAGGAAGGAGTCTGTTCATTTTGTTGGTGGTGGTGGTAGTGGTGGTGCAGGGCTTGAACTCAGGGCCTGGGTGCTGCCCTGGGTTCTGCCTTTTGCAGAAACCTAGCACTTTGAGCCACAACTCCACTTCTGGTTTTTGAGTTTTTGAATGGTTAGTTGGAGATAAGAATCTCACAGGGACTTTTCTGCCCTTGCTGGCTTTGAACAGTAATCCTCAGATCTCGGCCTCCTGCGTAGGTAGGATGACAGGGGTGAGCCATTGGTGCCTGACTGTAGGTAACTGTAAAAACTCCCAAGTAACCTAAAACAACTCCTGTTTAGTTCAACTCATAGTTTAGTTCAATCAAAAGACACAAGACCATAGATAAATCAACTGTATTCCCACATATGGTCAGTGCACACAGGAACAGAAGGTACAATGTACAGCCACTATATAGCTCAGCAAATGCAGGGCAGGGAATATAGTTACAGTGCCCAAAAATATGTGAGTTATTCTACTGTGGAATAAGAATATTATTGAAGGATTTTTTTGGTGATACAGGCTTTTTAACTCAGGGCCTTGTCCTTCCTGGGCAAGTGCTCTACCATTTGAACTATGCTTCTAGCCCTGTTGTAATTGTTAAAATAAATTAAGAAGTATTTAACATTTTTACCAGTTTAAGTTTGTAATATGGTAACTGTTAATATATACAAGCCACATAAACATGTTAATTTGGGCCTACAATAATTTTTAAGTTGTAAAGGGATCCAGGGTTCAAAACTTGAGAAACACTGTTCCAAAGTAACTATTTAAAAAATAAAATAAGGGCTGGGAATGTGGCTCAGTGGTAGAGTGCTTGTCTTGCATGCATGAGGCCCTGGGTTCAATTCCTCAGCACCACATATGCAGGGAAAAAAAAGCCGGAAGTGGCACTGTGGCTCAAGTGGTAGGGTGCTAGCCTTGAGCTGAAGAGCTGAGGGACAGCGCCCAGGCCCAGAGTTCAGGCCCACGACTGGACCCAAAACAAAACAAAACAAAAAAACAATAAAAAATAAAATAAGAGCTGGGCATTAGTGGCTCATTCTTGTCATCCTAAATCCTCAGGAAGCTGAGATCTGAGGATTATAGTTTGAAGCCAGTCTGGGCAGGAAAGTCCATGAGATTCATATCTCCAATAATCACACACACACACACACACACACACACACAGACTGGAAGTGTGAGCTATGGCTCAAGTGATAGAGCCCTAACCATAAGCAAAATTGCTCAGGGACAGCACCTTGGCCTTGAGTTCAAGCCCCAGGACTGGCATGATATCTTCATCAACAACAACAAGAAGTAAATAAAAATAAGGAAAGTGGAGCTGTGGCTCAAGTGATAGAACACTAGTCTTGAGCTGAAGAGCTGAGGGACAGTGCCCAGGCCCAGAGTTCAAGCCCCACGACCGGACCGAAAAAAAAAAATGATCATAATGAATTAAATAAGTAGGTTTTTAACTAAAAATCAACAGAGAAGAGCAAGTAGATACTAAAAACAAACAAAAAACTATTAAAACATACAGTTTTAAAATCCATCAAGTTGGAGAGAATGGTAGCATCACACGAGCACCAAGTGTTTCTTGCGAAAAACGACAATGATTGCACAATGCCACTAAGAACAACCTGGATAAGCTTTGGAGAGTAACTTGGCATTATCAGTGCCAGCAGGTGCCATGGCAAAAGCCTACCCATCCAAGTTTCAGCAACCCAGGGACCGACGAAAATTCCTCCTCTGCTGGCGGAAGGCACATGGTGGCTTTTTTTTTTTTTTTTTTGCCAGTCCTGGGGCTTGAACTCAGGGCCTGGGCACTGTCCCTGAGCTTCTTTTGCTTAAGGCTAGAGCTCTGCCACTTGAGCCACAGTGCCACTTCCGGCTTTTTCTGTTTATGTGGTACTGAGGAATCAAACCCAGGGCTTCATGCATGGTAGGCAAGCACTCTACCACTACGCCACATTCTCAGCACCCTGGTGACTTTTAATAAAGTCAAGGTATGTGTGTCTGGACCTTGGGAGTTTATCCTAGATAGGCACCTGTGTGTCTATTAAGATGCTCATCTAGAATTGTGAATACTTTCTGGGAAAGAACCTATAGCTCTTACAATTGAGAGGGCTGGTCTGCTCACATCCCTCGGGCAGTCTCCATTTCTGTGCATGCCAATAGTGGGCCTTTCACTGCCAGCCCCTGCCAGTCCCTGTAGCTCTCTCACCAGGACTCTCTCTGGCCCCAAACTTGCTTAGCCAGGACTTGTCTTTGCAAAGCTGCACACACTCAGCGAAGCTGGGGAGGAATCCTCTAGCTCTAGTCACTGAGGCAGTGGGGGAGGGGGTCTACATTCTCTCCCAGGAATCTCCAGAGGGATGGAACCACCAGCCAGCCCCCAGCAATTGCCTGTCAGGGATGGACCTCTCACTGCTTTCTTCCTCTCCCACTTCTGGTGCTTACTCCAAATCAGCTTGTTCACCCAGGCTTGCCTCCAGGCCTGGTTCACAAAGAACTGACAAAGCAGTTACAACGCATCCAGAGCTGCAGGCATCTGAGGGTCAGCTCAGAAAATACAGTGTCAGGGAATGAAAGCAGGCCACAGAATAGTAACACAGTATAATGCCCCTAGCATAACGTATGGTCCTAGCTCTCACACAGATCGATTCTGATCAATAAAACATTGCCCCTGGTGTGCACAATGTGAACTTCAACTCCCACCAAACAGCTTCAGGAAAGTGCAGTGCTCACCTCTGCCTGATGCAGATGGATTCCTTAGGAAACTCAAAGAGGTTCTGCACTCAGGCTGCTCTGCATAGAGTGACAGGGGGCTGGGCCCGGGAGACACTGGAGGCATTGGGGCATCACATCATTGGTGAAGGAGTAGAAGAGCAGAGTTAGATAGTGGGCCCCAGAAACCAACAGGCTCTGCCGCTAACTGACCAGAGGATCTCTTCTTTAGCAAGTCATTTTGCCTCACTGAGCTTCAGTTTCTCCATGGACAGTATCAATAGCAGTGTCTATTTCAAAGGGTGGTAGTATGGACTCAAGGAGATGATACAGAGAAAGCAAGTAGCCAGGGCCTGGCACATAGAGAGTACACAATAGATGTTTATTATTATTACTACACAATAGTGTTTATTACTACTACTACTACTACTATCATCATGGAATTACCATTAGAGCATGTCACTGTTATCATTATAATTATTGAAGGAAAGAAAATAGAGAGAGAGAGAGAGATTGAGGGAAAGAGGAAGTGGGAGTAAGGGAGGGAAAGGAATGCAGGCAGCGAAAAAAATTAGTTCTGTATGTATAGACAGTGGGACCACTCACCGTTCTTTTCCTTTGGACACTCCATGGCTCTTATAGTTTTGATTCTGCAAGGAGGAAAAAGAAAAGGAAATAAATTGGCTTTGCATTCCCACCTTCCTTTTGCCCAGATCCTGACCTGGGAAGGCCATCTTGACCAGGTTCTCATGTACTAGTAATCATGAACCCTGAAAATTGGGGCAGAATTTTCCCCAGTCTCGCAGGGCCCACTTCACGGCAGGCTTGCTCCACAGGCAAAACCAGTTCTAGGTGCCCACGATGGGAGATGGGGGAACATTGATTTATAAAATCCAGGGAAATTAGTCCCTCAAAAAGGAAATGCAATTATATTCTATTTTGCCATCCAAGCCTCTCCAACTCAATCAGCATTTATTTGTCAAACCATGCTAATCTTTTATACTTTTTTTGTTTTGGTTACGTTTATTTTTTTTTGTCGGTCATGGAGCTTGAACTCTGGGCCTGGGCACTGTCCCTCAGCAATTCAGTTCAAGGCTAGTGCTCTACCACTTGAGCCACAGCACCACTTCCAGCTTTTTCTGTTTATATGGTGCTAAGGAATCGAACCCAGGGCCTCATGCATGCAAGGCAAGCACTCTATCACTAAACCACCTTCCCAGCCCCAATGCTAATCTTTTAAACATCACATTGTGAATCCTATTTCCTTGTTTTCAATTCTATTGTTCCATAGACTGCTCCAGAGCCTTTTTTTTCTTTTTTGTCAGTGGTGGGGCTTGAACTCGAGTCCTAGGTGCTGTCTCTGAGTTCTTTTGCTCAAGGCTAGCACTCTATTACTTTGAGTCACAGCTTCATTTCCACTTTTCTGGTGGTTAGTTGGAGTTAAGAGACTCACAGCCTTTCCTGCCTGGAGCTGGCTTTGAACTGTAATCTTCAGATCTTAGCCTCTTGAGTAGCTAGGATTACAGGCGTGAGCCACCTCACTTGACTCCAGAGCCTTTGATTGCACAGTTTCCTTTCTTCACTGACTCACACTGGGTATGTCTGTCAAAATTCAATCAACCATGTGTGTTTGGATCTATTGCTAGACTCTATTTTCTTGTGTTTACTTGCTTGTTTGCTGTCCTTATGTCACTGTCACATTATCTTAATTGCTGTAGCTTTCTAGTAAATCTTGAAATCAGGTAGCATAAGGTAGCAACTGTGTTTTTTTCAATATTGTCTTTTCAAGTACGAATCCTTTGCATTTATTTCATCTGTATTTGGTGCTGAGAGATTGAACCCAGGATTCTGTATATTCTACACATGCATTTTATAATTGAGCTCTATCCCTCATCCTATCAATAGAAATTTTAGAATCAGCTTGCCAATTTCTACTAAAAGGCACATTGGGATTTTTATTTGAATTACCATGAATTCCAATCTGGGGTGATTACACATCATTCATGGGAAGAAGTGATATCATAATGTACAGAGTCTTCCATGAATATGGTCCATCTCTCCATCAATCTACATCTTTAATTTCCTTTCTAATAGTTTCTCATTTCCAATATAGAAGTATTGCATGTTCTAAATTAATTGTACCCATAGTTGTCTGATATCGTGATGCTGTTGTACATAGTATTTTTATTTCATTTTTAATTATCTGATGAATGTTACATGTGAACTTGTAAATACCCCCACCTTACAAGGCAAAGGGGAAGTAAAAGATGGGGTTAGGTTGCTAATCAATTGACCTTAACATACATAATTTTGGATCATCTGGGTGGGCCTGGCATAATCACCAGGGTCCTTAAATGTGGATCAAGGAGGCAGAAGAATCAGTGGTAAGGTTACATAATGAGAGAAAGACAGGATCCAAGGAATAGTGATAGACTCTACAAATTTAAAAGTGAGAATACAGATTCTTCCCTAGCAACGTGGCCCTCTTCACATCAGACTTCCAATCTCAAGAATGGTGTGGTTTTTAAAACAACTAAATTGGTGATTTGTTATAGCCGCCATTAGAGACTAATACAAGTGCAGAAGCCCATTTATATATTTTGATCTAGTATTTAATGCTCTAGCTAAATGATTAGTGGTGCTATTTTGTAGATTTTTTTTGAGGGGGTTTCTATGTATACAATTATGTCATCTGTGAAGAAGGGTGCGTTTGCTTTCTTCTTTTCAATATTGATGCCTCTTATTTCCTTTTGCTTGTTCTTAACTGTTCTGGCCAATATCTAATACTGTGTTGACTGCAAGTGATGACAGCAGACATCTTCGGCTTGCTCCTGTTTTTAGGAGGAAGTACTCCCTATTTCAAGAATGAGGGATGGAGATGTGATTCAAATGGTAGAGCTCTAAGGCCCTGAGTTCAATTCTCAGTACCAGAAAACAAAAACCAGCTTAAGGTTCTAATATCTGTCTTCTACCAAACTGAGCACATTTATTATTATGATTCCCTAATTTTCTGAGGATTTATCACAAGCAGGTACAATTAGAATGCAATTATTATATGTAACTCAAGCATTATAAAGTCAGAGTCATGGATCTTGGGAGATGTTTAATTTGCTTCTGCATGATACTCCAAGAACTAAAACTTTCATGTCTTAGTTAGCAATTCCTAGACTAGCCTGAAGACCCATCCAAGGTTGAGTTCTGGGGAGAGAGTTGCTTTTTTGTGTGTTTTAAATATTTAGTGGTTTATCCCAAATGCTATTACAAAGTACACAAATAACAGCCAGCCAGCAGGAATTACTGAGATGGGTGAGGCATACAAGAAAAGTACAGAGCTCCAGAGCCCCCCTTTACCCCCCCACCCCAGGGGAAGAACCCATATCCTCCCAACCCTTCCAAGGGATCAGAAACCTGGAAGCTCCTAGGAAGAAAATTGTTTCCACTGAGCTCCCAGCTAAGGGTGACTAGCCTTCTAGTTGTCTCCCACTGCCCAAGGGTAAACTGATGCTATGAATAAAGAGGTCAAGAAACAAAGAGAGCCGTCAGTCCTGTGCAGAGGGGCCCAGAACATGTCTCCTACTCCTCAAGTCTTGTGTTTGTGGGATGAGCAAATTTCTCCCAAGGAGAAGGAAGAATTAGAAGTGACGTTTTTGTTTTCCTTTTTTTTTTAATGTGTCTTGGATATCTATCTCTGTTACACACACACATACACACAGAGAGAGACATAAAAACTCAACTATATCTTTCCAAAGGTATCTTTTATATTTTAATATAAGTGTGTCAGGAGTATCTTCAAGAATTTCATCTGCCATATTGCCTGAAATAGAAGTCCTAGTGCCATCTTGATGTGAAAAGCATTTCCAGGGATATGAATAATACCCCAAACTACTCAAATAGTGCATTTAAATTATACAAAATCTTTAGAAAATAGCTTTTTTGGGGAAAAAAAACAACTCAGATGACTTGATTCTCATATTGCTTTGTACAAAATGGAAAGAGGGCATGAATGGCACAGTTGGTGCTGAGTCAGGAAGAATACGTGTTCATGTCAGGAGCAGTTTCCTTCATGCCTGATAATAGAGCGTGCCTCAGGCCTTGCTCCAACTCCCTGGAACTACCTGTCAGGTGGAAACATCCACGCTGAGACCTTCCACAAGGTGGCTGACCTTGCACCAACCCACCAGAGGCAGCTTCACTGCCTACCTGGCTCCTTCAGCCCTAGCTTCTCTCTTCCTGATTCAATTCATTACCTCTACTTGGTCCTTACATAGTTCCCAGCATGCCTCAGATGCCTCAGAACTGAGGCCAAAGGGGCTATATCCTGAGAAGGGAAGATGAAAGGTTGAAACACAGGGCATTCGGACCTCTGACCCTCTCTGGACATATTTTTGTGAAGGCAAATATAGTATATCATGTGCATTCTCTTCATATGTTCAAATTCCCATTTCCCTAGATGACTTAAAAGAAACCCCAAATTCCTACATCCATATGTAGATGACAGTTGCTTCTCTATCCAACAGGAACAATGAGATGCATAATGTCACAAAGAAGCAGTCTATTTTTTTCCTCTCATCCAACATGGGCCAGCCACATTGACACTCGCAGAACAAACTGCCAAGATCTACTGCTATATCCCCCAGTTCCCTTTCTGTCAGGTTGATATGGGAAGGGGCTAGTGAAGAAGAAATATTTCCCTTCTAATAATATTCTAAAAAGTGAAGTGAGAGCTGGGCACCAGTAGCTCATGAATATAATTTTAGCTGCTTGGAGACTGAATCTGAGGTCCATCTGAATCATGGGACTCAAAGCCAGCCCAGACAGGAAAGTCTCTGAGACTCTTATCTCCAACTAATCACCCATGGAGGCATGGGCTGGGAAGGTGGCTCAGTGGTAGAGTGCTTGCCTTGCATGCTCGAGGCCCTGGGTTCAATTCCTCAGCACCACATAAGCAAAAAGAAAAAAGCCGGAAGTGGCGCTATGGCTCAAGTGGTAGAGCGCTAGCCTTGAGCTGAAGAGCTGAGGGACAGCACCCAGGCCCAGAGTTCAGGCCCCACGACCGGACCCTCCCCCCCCCAAAAAAAAGTTGGAGGCAGATCTGTGACTCAAGTGGTAGAGTACCAACCTTGAGCAAAAAAGCACCCAAACCCTGGTTTCAAGCCTCATTAGTGGCACACACACACTTTTGACTTAAGAAGTGGACATGATTAGCATAAGGTAGCTGAGATAGAGAGAAGAATGAAGAATGAATTCAGTATTCATTCAGTGAGTTAGAAGAGAAGGTATTATTGGATGTGGGATATGGGGGAGTCAAACTGGAGGTCCAGTTTTTTGCTTGAGCAACTACATGGGTAGTTCTACAGTAGTAATGCAAAAGTTATCACCTGTAAGTTAGCTCTGAGCAATATAGGGATTGGACACTAGGTCCCAGAATCTAGCAGGGAATGCAGACATGAAACAAACATCCACAGGAGCAATGTAAACAGGGGACACACAGCACTCTGAAAGCAGATAAACTTGGTATTTGTTTGTTTTGTCGGTACTGGGATTTGAAATCAGGTCTCACCTTGCTTGCCTTGTTGAAGCTCTACCTCTTGAGCCACTCCTCTAGCTGTTTGTTTGGGGCTTTTTCTTTTTTTTTTTTTTGAGACAGAATTAAAGAAATGGAGGTACAATTCTTGGGAGGTTGGAACACTACATAAGCAGGTTGGTGGTAGTGCTGGATTCTAGAGTAATCCATTTGTTTTTCTTCTACGCGTCTTATTTTTCCTAACGTTCAAATGGAGCTGGCTTACCTGCCTGTCCCTAGAGGGCAGGGACTTGTCTGATTTACCTCTGTGACTCTGGCCAGCAATGAAGGTAAAAAAGGCACTAATGAGGTTGTGCGGATGGGTGCACAGACAGACAGACGGCTGACTGCCTGGGCGGGAGGCAGGATGAAAAAGTCTCTAAATGCTTTCCAGGTTAGGAAACCAAGAGTAGGTTTAGACTCCTAGACTGGGCAACTTTCCCGCCAGTAGGCTGGGCTCGCGGGGCATGCGCGGCATCTCAGGTGGAACGCGCAGCATGCTGGAACTTGTAGTCTTTCTTCCGCGCTCGTGTGCCTCACTCCTCGCAGCCCGAAACCATCCACGAGATGCTCCCTCCCCAGCTCTGAATCCCTCCTGCGGCTCCCCTCCCACTCTCTACAGACCACAAAAGCATCTGTAGTGCTTCCACACCTACCTTCGGTCGTGACATGACACTGTTCTCTAGGGCCCGATCCAAACCGCCAGCGCGCCGCGGGCCAGCCTGTGCGTCTCGTTGCCAGGGCGACGGAGAGGGCGCCCGGATTTGTCATTCTGATTGGATGATCCGAGGACACGCCTCTCGGCGGAGTAGGAAGGCCCCGCCCACTCGAGCCCCTGAAAGCTAGGGTGTTCTGCCAGCACTGATCCCGGGATTTTGTCACCTCCCAGCCCCACTTTTCCATGACCCTGGAATACACAAAAGGATTACTCTGGAATCGAGCACTACCACCCAACCTGCTTATGTAGTGTTCCAACCTCCCAAGAATTGTACCTTCATTTCTTTATTTTTATTTATTTATTTTTGTCGATTGTGAGGCCTGAACTCTGGGCCTGGGCGCTGTCCCTCAGCTCTTCAGCTCAAGGCTAGTGCTCTACCACTTGAGCCACAGCGTCACTTCCGGCCTGGGTTCGATTCCTCATGCATGCAAGGCACTCTACCACTGAGCCACCTTCCCAGCCCACCTTCATTTCTTTAATTTCGTCTAAAAAAACTGCTGGAGGAGTGGCTCAAGTGGTAAAGCTCCAACAAGGCAAACAAGGTCCTGATTTCAAACCCCAGTACTGACAAAACAAGCAAAAACCAATGGCTGAGTGTTTGCTGAGGGCACTTACTGTCCAGTGCCGCCCTCAGGTCTAAGCTTTGCATCTAAAAAGACTGCAAGTCACCTTCGGTGAATAACATAACATGGTTTCCTTATTCAAGACACTTGGTCATTTGGTAACATGGCTAGTCACTAGTGCTGGTGATCTTTCCCACTGTGGTAGCATATGAGTGTAATCCTGGCATCCTAGAGACTGCAACAGGATAGCAAATTGGAGGCCACCTGGGGTACATAGTGGACCCTATCTCAAAAAGAGAGAGAAAAAAGAAGTCTCTTCTGCCATCTTGATTGACTGGGATAGAATCACTATCACCATGTTTGTTCTGTTGTTCGGGGGTTTTAACTCAGAGTCTTGAGCTTTCTTTCCTTATTTTCAGATAGGATCTGGAACTTTTGCAGGACCTACCTCAGACCCCAGTTCTCCTACCTATGCCTCCCTTGTAACTGGGATGACAGGCACATGCCCCCACAGTTAAGATAGCAATATCACTTTTTGCTTGAGCTGGACTTGAACCACAACCCTCCATAGCTCTACCTCCTGAGTAGTTGGGATTACATGGGATTACAAGGTGCCAAGGGCCACCTTGCATGCACGCACGCACACGTGCACGCGTGCGCACACATACACATACACACACACACACACACACACACACACACACCGCTTAACACCTGGATTCAAAATAAAATCTAAGCCTCGTACTTATGGCTCACACCTGTAATCCTATCTGCTCAGGGGACCGACTTCAGAGGATTGCAGTTCAAAGGCTGCTGGGGCAGGAAAGCCCAGGAGATAATCCCCAATTAACCACCAACACAACCAGAAATAGAGCTGTGACTAAAGTGGAAGAGTATTGCCTTGAGCAAAAAAGCTCAGGAACGGGGCTCAAGCTTTGAGTTCAAGGCCCGGATTGGGGCCACAAAAAATACAATCCATGCCAGGTGCTGGTAGTTCATGCCTGAAATCCCAGACAAATCTGAAATACTTGTATCTCCAACTTACCAGCAAAAAGCTGGAAGTAGAGGTATACCATAACTACCCTTGAGTCAAAAGGCTAAGCAAGAGCAGCAGGCCCTGAGTTAAAGCCACTATACTGGCATAAAATAAAAAATAAAAAAAAACAAATGAAAAACAGTCTAGAGATAGGAAGGCACCTTTGTCTCCTGGGCTCTTTCCATCTTCCATCCAGAGAGGGATATCTTTAGGGAATTACTTCACTGCCACCACAGTGAAAGATTTTTAAGCAAGGGAATGACAGGGCGAGACCAGCCTTTTAGCATCTTCATATTAATGGTTTTGTAAAACAGTTACTTCATGACTTAAGGAAAACTGTGCTTTGCAAGTACAAACACTTTCAAAGGCTCAACAGTTTGTAGCTATTTAAATGGGCTAAGTTTGATAACTGCATCCTTTTTTTTTCCACCCTGAAGACTTTTAATCTGACATAGGATTTAGCTGACTCCACCTAACTACTGAGTAGAGTTTCCAAGGACTGTTATAATTGCTTTATGGATGAGGAAACAGACCCAGGGCACTCACCTGCCCAGGCTGACAAAGCCAGTAGGGTTTTGATGATGAGGACCTAGTCCTGAGACTCCTTTACCAGCATTTCTTTATGCTAGCCAGGGGCAGGGTATTCTGGAAACAGATCAATGTCAGTACTCTGCTTTCATTTCTGTGGCATGGATTGTGATCTTTAAGATAGGGAACCCAGTTGGCTGCTGGTGGCTCATGCCTGTAATCCTAACTACTCAGGAGGCTGGATCTGAGAATGGCAGTTCAAAGCCAGCCGTGGTAAGAAAGTCCATGAGACTCTTATCTGCAATTAACCACCAGAAAACCGGAAGTAGCACTGTGGCTCAAGTGGTAGAGCACTTGCCTTGAGCTAAAGAGCTCAGAGATAGTGCCCAGGCCCAGAATTTAAGCCCCAGGACCACCCAAAAAAAAATTATTGGGAACCTGGGAGTCACACTGGAATTCTTCATTTCCTTCCCTCCACCATGTTGAGTGCCTCCCTTCTTTCCAGCTTCTTTAGTGCATTATGTTGTGGGGCTCCATCATCTCTCACCTGTACTGCTGCAGTAGCCTCCTCACTGACCCACCAAAGAACCAAAGTGAGGGACTTAAGCTGGTGTTCATGCCTATAACTCTAGTCACTCAGGCGACTGAGATCTGCGGATCATGGTTTGAAGCCAGCCTGGGCAAGAAAGTTCATGAGACTCTTATCTCCAAGTAACCACTAAAAAGCCAGAAATGGAGTTGTGGCTCAAGTGGTAAAGCACCAGCCTTAAGCAAAAAAGCTCAGGGACAGTACCAAGATCCTGAGTTTAAGCCCCAGTACCCATCCAGTGTGCGCGCACGCGTGCGCTCGCGCACACACACACACACACACACACACAGAGTTAAGTTTAAATTGCAGAAGTGGTTTGCTGGCACTCTTGGTAGTAAGCTGGTGAAGGGAGGAGTCATCTTATCCGTAGCTAAGTCCCTGCTACTTATCATAGAATAGGTACACAAAAAGTATCTGCTGAATGATTTTTTTATGAGAACCGGGTACAAACAGAGCTGAGATAGGAAGCCCCCAGTACACTGTGAACTTGAGGAAGGAAGGAACATGAAGAAAAGGGGGTTTCTCCAGTTACTGCCTTTATTTTTTTCTCCAGTTACTGCCTTTAAATGGACTCCATGGTCTCTCTGTCCTGCCTGTGTTCACCTCCCCTGCATTCACTTGCCACTATAGATGGAGGAGTGGACGTGATGATAGAAAGAACAAAGTTGGTTCTGCAGCTCTGTTCAGCCCCATAGGAGGTGTCTGGTCGCAGTGTTTCACTTGCCTGGTCAGTAATTGGGAAGGGCTCTTCTCCTCATCCTGAGACATACAGATAGGGTCTCATGAGAGCTTTCCCAGCATCACTTAGCAAGTCAGGGGTGAAAGGGTTTTTAACCTGTATCTTTCGGGACTCTGAGAACATCGTGTTGTAGTTCACTAACCCTAAACTGAGGACTGGAACCTTCTTATATATTTCCTCACATTTCCTGACTTCTTGGGTCCACTAATAGCAATTAAGGCTGGTCCCAACAGAGCTTACCCATATGGCACCATCCTTATAAGGGGCTAGAGTAGATAGAAAGAAGAGAGGGAATGATGGATGGGTGGGTAGATGGGTTGATGGAGGGAGGGAGGGAGGGAGAGTAGGAAGGAGGGAGGGATGGATGGATGGATGGGTAGGTAGATGGATGGATGGCAGACAGATGAATGGATGGGAAGATGCGTGGATGGGAAATGAGTGGATGGAGGATGCATGGATAGGTGAGTGGGTGGGTGGACTAGAAGATGGATGGATAGACGAGTGAGCGGAAGGGGATGAGGGGATGGATGGGCAGAATGAACGGATGGAAGGGTAGGAAGGAGGTGGAGTATGGCTGGCGGGAGGAGAGGGAAAGGAAGAAGGCTGGCTGGCAGGGTGGCCGCGTGGGTAGGGAGTATGCCACCGAAGAGGCCCCCGGAAGGGGGCCCTGAGCTTCTGGGGGGTCTCCCGGCGGCATCTCCCCCGGGGGGCCCGCGCCTGACGGTGCCAGGAGAGGGGCGCCCCGCCCCCACGCGAGGCGGCCTCTCCCACGCGGCCGCAACAAGCTGCCGTTGTCCCGCGGGCCGTGGGCCCGGCACACTGGGGCTTTGTCCGGCCCCCCGCCACGACCCACGGGGGAGGGGGACCCCACATGACCAAGGGGGTAGGAGGAGCCTGCGGCGGCGGCGGCGGTGGTGGAGGCTGCGGCGGCGGC